CTGCTGCTGCTGATGGTTGTGGTTGTGGTGGTGGTTTTGTTGTTGTGTGTCTTGCTGCAGTGTTTATGTTTTGCTGCTGTTGCTGCTGCTGCTGTTGCTGCTCCTTCTCCTACTAATAATAATAATAAATTAATTAATTAATTAATTAATTTGTTTATTAATTTATTTATTTATTTATTTATTTATAGGTTAGCTTAGTAGATAGTTGTTCGCGTACAATAGGGCAGCAGCAGCTGCTGCTGGGGTTACTTAATGGAGACAGCAGCAGAGAATTAATTCTTGAGGGTTTCTGTAACTCTATTCCTCTTAAGCTACATCCACAGGTATGCATGCATGCATGCATGCATGCAGCAGCAGCAGCAGCAGCAGCAGCAGCAGCAAGTGCAGCAGCAGCAAGTGCAGCAGTAGTAGTAGTAGAGACATATTGCTGCTGTTTTTGTTGCTGTTTACGTTGCTGTTGTTTTGCTGCTATGTATATTCGCTGCTACTGCTGCTGCTGCTGTGTGTGTGTGTGTTTGCTGCTGCTGCTGCTGCTGCTGCTGCAGTGTGCTGTAGGCTTAGGTCTATTCGTAGAGGGCCAGCTAGTATTAGTAGAGGGACAGTTTGCTGCTGCTGATTCCCCCTTTATAGTAGAGGGGATAGCGCATGTACCTAGGGAGGCGCAGCAGGATCCTTTTTACTGCAGCAGCAGGAAGCAGCAGCAGCAGCAGCAGCAAGAAGCAGATAAATGTTATATAGGTATAATACCATCATCTAATAGCAGCAGCAGCAGCAGCAGTAACAGTAACAGTATGAACAACAACAGCAGAAACAGCAGCAGCAACAGCAGCAGCAACAGCAGCAAAGACAGCAGCAGCAGATTCCTACCTGAAGGATTAACTGCTAGCAGCAACGAAGACATGACCCTTTTCTTTGGTCCTCCTCTGTCTGCAGCAGCAGCAGCAGAACTTTCTCTATTAGAGGAAGCAGAAGCGCATGCAAGAGCAGCAAATAAATTAATTTATGCATGCAAAGAAGATTCATCTATTATAGATAAATTAGCTAACTTTATTGTTGAACAAAAATTATCTACACCTATTAATTCTCCTGCTGCTGCTGCTGCTGCTGCTGCAGCTGCTGCAGGAGGACCTGCTGCTGCTGCTGCTGCTGTTGCTGCTGATGCTGCTACTGCTAAACCTAGCAGCACACTGTGGTATATCATCAGCCAAATCCAATTTGCTGATCAAAGAGATCTAAATCTACTAGAGACTATTTTTAAGGGTAAGAAATTAGGGTTTAGGGTTTAGGGTTTAGGGTTTAGGGTTTAGGGTTTGAGGTAAAAAAAAAAATGTTAATAAAAATGTATTTTTTCTTCAATATTTATAATGTTAAGGGTTTAAAGGTCATATGGTTGAGGGTTTGCGAATTAGGGTTTAGGGTTTAGTATATTTATATATGTTATCAAGGGTTTAGGGTTTAGGGTTTAGGGTTTGTGTTCAGGAGCATTAATGGAGTATGAGGAGGGTTTAGCTAGTCTTCCTGCAGGTTTTGTATTTATGGGGGATTTTGAGGGTTTAGAGGACAAAAAAAAGGGTTTAAGGGAAGGACTTGAGGGTTTATTTAGGGTTTTATCTCGTTATACAATTCTTGCAGAAAGTAAACCCTAATTATATACATATCCTGCACACTACAGCAGCAGCAGCAGCAGCAGCAGCAGCAGCAGGACAAACACATACAAGAAATAATAGATACAATAAGCAAAGGAGACAGATATACACCACGGCAGCAGCAAAAGGAGACACATCACTAATCATTGCTCCCTAGGGTTTAGGGTTTAGGGTTTAGGGTTTAGGGTTTGTGGTTGTTGGTGATTTGCAGATTGTTATTTCGTCTTCGTCCCAGGACCAAATGATCCTTGCTTCGCAAAAGGTGTCAATACACCCCAACTGCTGCTGCTGCTGTTGCTGCTGTTTTTGTTGTTGCTGCTGCTGTTGCTGCTGCTGCTGCTGCTGTTAGTGTTTGAATGTTCATTCAGTTGTAGGGGTTAGTGACTTGCATGTGGTTGGTGTCTTCAACCAGCAGCAGCAGCTGATGCTGCTGCTGCTGCACTTATACAACTATTGCTATTGCTGCTGTTGCTGCTGCTGCTGCTGCTGCCGCTGCTGCAGATACGTTGCCACGGATGCCGATAGTTCCGGTGTACACGCAAGATTTTGTGAATCGCATGCAAAAACAATTTAAGGGATCAAAGGATCGCATTTTCTTTACTACTAGTCCATGCAGGTACAGACACTGCAGCAGCAGCAGCAGCAGCAACAGCAGCAGCAACAGCAGCAGCAGCAGCAGCATCACCAGCAACAGCACCCCAAAAGACAGTAAACAGAAGAAACAGGTTCAGCATATACAACAGAAACATCACCACCACTACCACCACAAACAATCACCACCATCACCATAACCACCATAACCATCAGCAGCAGCAGCAGCAGCAGCAGCAGCAGCAGCAGGAGCAGGAGAGTGTGTGTGTGTGTATATATATTTATATACAGGATAAGACAATGGAATAGTATGATGACATATTTTAGTCATAATATTTATTCATCTTTATCTACAGATTGTTATTTTACTGGAGGTCTAGATCATAATCAAGATATTAAACATAATCTACATAAAATTGTAATTATATATATATAAACCCTAAACCCTAAACCCTAAACCCTAAACCCTTATTATTATTATTATATATATACTTCAAACACTTTGTCATAATCCATCAGATAATTATATACATATTATTATTCTAGACAAACCCTAAACCCTAAACCCTCTAATTGTTAGTATAATATCTATTATTTAGGTTGATACTAAGATTTATTAGGGTTTGTTAGGGTTTATTAGGGTTTATTAGGGTTTATTAGGGTTTAGGGTTTAGGGTTTAGGGTTTATGTATATATTAGGTATTGAATACAATAATGGGTCAGGCACATCTTTGTCCTTGTCGTGTTGATCATCGAGTCACAAAGCCAAAAGATTCTTCTCTTCTTCTATTCCCTACACCCAACTTAGTCAGTCCTCTTCCATGCATGCATGCATGCATGCATGCAAGCCCCATAGACGTGCATGCACCCTGCATGTATGCGTGCATGCATGCAAATTGCATACATACAGGTTTGGTTTTGTGGAGGGGGATGTGCGTTGTTTGGAAGTTTATTTGTGTGTTTGCATGCATGCATTTGCTGCTGCTGTTGCTGCTGCTGCTGCTGCTGCTGCTGCAGTTGTTTTTATGTGACGCAAGTTGTCCTCCCTTCATCAGCACAAACCCTAAACAACCTGATGACATCATTGTATGCAATGCAGGTATGATTTTGTTGCCTCTAGGGTTTAGGGTTTAGGGTTTATTAGGGTTTATTAGGGTTTAGGGTTTAGGGTTTATTAGGGTTTATTAGGGTTTAGGGTTTAGGGTTTAGGGTTTATTAGGGTTTACACTGTGTACTTTTTCTATTGGCAATTCCTTTGTATTTTGTCTTTTTTTTTCCTTTTTTTTTCCTCTTTTCTTCTGTGTTTATTTGTTTCCTTCTTAATTAGTAATTAGTAGTCCTTTTTATATATTTTATTTCTTTTCTTTTTTTCTTCTTTTTCTTTATAGATTCCTCCTTTAGAGAAAGTCGTAAATTCTTTCGTTATGATGTTTGGGAACATCAATTGGAGAAATTGCAAGTCCCAACAGAATAGCCAATGGACCAATGGTCACCTGACCACTGGTCACCATAAGGAAGGATATATATATTTGTATATATTTATATATTTATATATTTATATACAAATATAAATTGCCCTTAATAACGTAGTTTAAATAATATATTTTATTTTCTTGCTGCTGCGGATGCTGCTGCAACAAATGCTGCAACTGCAGCACCGGCTGCAGTAGTTGGCGCTGGTGCTCCCTTTTATATTTCTTCTCCTTTTTTTCTTCTTTTCTTGTTTTTTTTGTATTAATTGTGTATTTATTCCTTCTTATTAACCTCTTCTTTCTTTATTTACTTTTAATTTATCCTCTCTGTCTCTTTTTTCCTCTAGTTCGTGATTTATCCTCAGACAATTTATTATTATTATTTATATTATAAAAGATGCAGAAACTCTTATTAAGGGTTTATATTGAGGAAGATTAATTATTTAATAAAATAGTCATCTTATTTTATTAAATAATTAATTGTTTTATAATTAAAGGAAAATATAAGTAATTAAGTTGTATGAGGAATTCTTCTTGTCTTATTAATAGATGCCTGCATGCATGCGAGTTGCCCTCCATGCAATAAAGGAAAACTACAACGAGAAATTATTTTTAGTTTGTATTTTCTGTCTTTCTTTTGTTTTTTTTCTTCTATTTTAATTAACAGTTAATGCATGCAATTAATGCATATTCTTTTCTTCGCTTCTTTGTTTGCATTCATCTACTTTAACGAAGATCGAGGGTCACATGGCTGCTTCCTTCCTTGTTGTGTCTTCGCAACCTTCTCTATGCATCAATGAATAAAAAAGAAGAAATATTTATACTCCTAAATTCTCCAAAAAGAAAGAAACAAAAGGGGAGGCATGAACTCTTCATAAGCTGCAGGTTTGTTCCTTTTTATTGGGGTGTACATGCAGCTTTCTTGAGCAGCCGACACATTCTTGCCTTATGCGTATTCAAAGGGAAAGCAGAGGGAAAATAAAAGGAAATGTTGCGATCTTTGTATTTTTTATTGTTTTTTCTTGATTATGTTCCTTTTTATTCAAAAGGAATTACTTCTAGGGGTCAAGCTCCCCCTGCAGTACTACAGAATCTACTTATGTCGTTAGTGGGTAGGACACCATACGTAACAGATAATGCAGAAGATGCAAGAGCAACACAGAGCCCTATGATGTAAATCTTTTTTCTTCTTCTTTTTCTTCTTTTTCCTTTTTATATTAAAATATTTACATAAAAATGGGTCATTTATAGATCTATTCATCTTATCAAGGCTCACGCACCTGATACTCTCCCCTCTCCCTTCTATCGCCCTTATGAAGGTAAGAAGGAAGCAGCAAAATCTTAGTAGGAATACGTATGCATGCATGCACACATCTGCATGCATGCATGCATTCATGCATGCAGATGTATTTTATGTTTATTTACTTTTATTTCTTATTTAATTATTATTCCTTGTATCCAACAAAACAGACTCTATTCAAGAAGGTGCATAATCACGACACTTTGTTCCTTCCTCCTTCCTACGGTGTATTTAATATTTCTTCTCCTTTCTTAAGTTAAATAATAATAAAAATAAATAAATAAATAAATTCATTGTTACTTTATGCATGCATGCACGCATGTATTGAATTATAATCAGAAATAGATGACGAAGACTTCAAACTTAGTCAAGTAAGACAACACAAACAAACATATATATATATATATA